AGCGGAACTATCCAGTGCATGACAAGGAACTCCTTGCCATGAAGTATGCACTCGCGAAGTTCAGAGTCTATCTATTAGGAGATAGACCCTTCGTTGTTTACACTGACCATGCGTCCTTACGCACGGCAGTGAACAGCCCGCACCTTTCACAACGAATGGCGCGGTGGTTGTCATTCTTTGCAGAATACAACTTTACGGTCGAGTACAAACCAGGACGACTTAATGTCGTCGCTGATGCACTCTCACGTCGTCCCGACTTTGAAACAGTCGCGAAACCCAACAGTGAGACAGTCACTGTTGCGGTTATGACGTCCTCAGTTCCATCTACAACGTTGTATGATGATGTGAGGCGGGCATACGCCCAAGATGGTGAGATAGTGAAGTTGTTGTCACATCTCTCCCAACCATCTCGAGAATCGTTGAAACGATTGTCGTCTGCGTATCGATCTGCATCAGATCGATACACTACTCGTAACGGTTTACTGTACTATACAGCCGTTTCTGGTGACACACCACGTGTTGTCATTCCAGATGATACTGATCTGCGTTTGCGGATCATGTTCGAGTATCACGATGCTCCTATAGGAGGACATCGTGGCCGAGAGAAAACATATCTCACGGTAAGTCGAGACTTTTACTGGCCCCGCCAGTATCAGTTTGTGCGAAAGTATGTTCGCGCATGCGAAGTCTGCCAACGAGTGAAGTCAAGTCCTTCACTGCGTGCACCTTTACAGCCTCTACCGGTTCCGGCTGAGTGCTGGGAATCCATCTCAATGGATTTCGTCTTCGGGTTACCCAAAGACGCACGCGGGAATACGGGTATTCTCGTATTTGTTGACAGATTCAGCAAAATGGTACACCTTGTGGCTGTACCAGAGACAATCACGGCAAGTGGCTGTGCTTGTGTCTTTATTGACACCATCTTCCGACTTCATGGGTTGCCCCGTGAACTCGTATCAGACAGAGATCCACGATTCACTGCTGATTTCTGGCGTTCCGTGTTCAAATCACTCGGAACGCGCTTGAAGATGTCAACATCTGATCATCCAGAGTCAGATGGTCAGACGGAACGTGCCAACCGTGTCCTCGAAGAGATACTTCGAGGATACGTACACTCCTTTAAAAGTTGGAGTGAGTTTTTGCCAATGGTAGAGTTTGCCATCAACAACTCGGTGCATGCGTCCACGACACATACACCGTTTTACGTGAATGGCTTGCGCCATCCGCGTGTACCCACCTTACTAGAGTGTAACTCTGGTTTAAGGGGGGAGGGACTCGCGCGAGCAAAAACCGATTTGGTTCACGCTCATCACGCTCTGACGAAGAAGTCATTGCGTTTGATGCCGATATCGATAACATCGATATCGAAGAAGATGATGCCAGTGAGAGTGCGGAAGCCCTCACTGAAGACAATGATCCCAGTGAGAGTGCGGAAGCCCTCACTGAAGAAAAGGTTGTTGTCGCTGCAGTGCGCTCACAGCACACTGAAGCTAACGAGTCATCAGATGAGTTCATACTGGCTCGTGAAACGGTAGTCCGTTTTGTGCAAGACTCCATCGCCGAAGCGGTGGATAAGCAAAAGCAAAACGCTGACAAGAATGGAAGGGCAAACACTCTTTTATTTAATAAAGGTGACTTAGTCCTACTGTCTACGGTTAATCTACCAAAACATGTAGTGACTAACTTGGGTAGCAGTAAACTACTACCCAAGTACATTGGCCCATTTCGTGTATTGCACCGCCTAGGCAATGCATACACGATCGAGTTACCACGTAAGATGCGAACGCATCCCACGTTTTACGTTGGTCGGCTTAAGCCGTACCATCAGTACGCTGCTTCTTCCGATGAAGAACGCCCTTGCGCTCAAGCATCTCGCAGAGAGCCTTGTGCTCCCGATGGTGGGCATCAACAAGGGTCTGAAGAGCAGTTATCTCAGCCCGAGACCGATCAACAATCCCACGAGCTACCCTTAGCTCGTCACGAAGAGATGTCAGAGATCTCTCGTTCTCAAGCTGAGCAAAGGCAAACTCAGCTCGATGCTTCGAGGCAGTGTCCACCATCTGGAGACGCCTATTCCGCTCATGCTCGAGATCGTCGCGTAACCCTTGCGTTACGCGATCAAAGAAGCTCTCGGGAACACACCGATCCACATGATCGTGTGGAGAGCGTCTTTCCTCCTCCTCCACCTCCATTAGAGGACTCTCGCGGTGGCCAGCGCTATCTAGTAGAGCAGCTGTTGAACCACCGCGACGTGAACGGACGTCGGACGAGTTACCTCGTCCGGTGGCGCGGCTATCCCCCGTCCTGGGATTCTTGGGAGCCCCGCTCCCAATTGATGGTTGACGTACTGGGTCTGGTCGAGCAGTACGACGCGACACATCCTGTGCCGCAGAAGGACCGCCGGAGAAAGTCTTCCCGGCACGGTCGTAAAGGGATTTCAGGTTGTCAATCCCTTCGTACATCTCAGTAGAGACACGTACGCGCCACCACGGGCTGGTAAGGAGGTAAGCCTCCTTAGGTGCTCGTGCAGAGTTGTTCACACAACATGGGCACGAGTCTCCCCAAGAGAGGCAGGGTAATCCTTTCTCCCTTGACAGACGATGCAGCTTATAGCGTGCACCTGTCGGGGTTCGCTTTTCAAACTTATCACGAGCTTTGATAAGTTTGTCGTTCCAAGCGTCACGACCTACATCCTCGAGATTATGGATGTAGGCGTTCCACGCCTGAAGTAGTGAGGGACCATCACGTTTGTGATTCCCACTGTACCATCGATGTCTGAAGAAAGCATCGATGAAGAACTCATGTTCAGCGCGATAGTCTTTCGCGCTGGGGTCAAGGTGATGGATCCTTGACGAATCGAACAATCGTGTTCGATAACGATCACTCGTCGTCGCCGACAAGTGATCCATGACAGATTTAGGAGGCATCCATGCCTTCTTTTCTGGAGCGAGACGCAACACATTGCGGTCCCGCTCTTCCTGCGACGTGCCGACAGAAGTACTGGCACCTCGCTGTGAAGTGGTGTCCATTGGAGAAACGACACCACTATTAGCGCCCGAGTCTCGCGACCTCGAGCGCCTTCGCTTCGGCGATGGTTCATCTGACTCATCAGATGAACCAAAGATGCTGCGACGCAAAGCATCGTCCATGCCACGCTTGGCAGGCGGCTTGGATTCAATTGCCGTCGATACGGATCCGTCATCCGTATCAGGAGAGTACGAGACACCGAGCTCGTACTCTGTGAAGACACGAGTGTCTTCATGACCAGCGCCTGCATCACCAGGTGATACAGGCTGAGTCGATTCAGCAACCGATGGGATATCAGTTGCTGTAGTTTCTGCTTCGGCGTCCGCACAGAGACGTGCAGACGCGCTCTCGGCGGCCTTGCTCGCGCATCGCATGGGCTTGTTTACCATGCGATGAGATGTTGGAAAGTGGACGCGGACCAACAAGTGCAAACCCCGTCCCAAATGATTTGGGACGAGTATCCATTTAGTCAATCAGTCACTAAAGTGACTGATGGTTAAGGGGGGTGATGTAACGGGGTGAATCGTTACATAACAATTTATAAGAAATTGTTAATAGAATATAACTATAAGAGTTATATTCTCAGAATATTGTCATAAGGACAATATTCTGTAGCACTTCCAAGTAGTTCCTAATTGGTTGATATAGGCCATTATATCAACCAACGAAGACGCGCCACGACAGACGCACGCAATGAGTGGTGAGCAGATAACTGATTTACACATTTGTATTTAGACATAGTTAGATGAAGATAAATAGTGATTTATTGCAGACATTAACTATTATAAATACAGTTCTACTTTTTACTCTAACCGAGTACTCGCTTCTTCTTACCGTCTTCCTCTGCACGTACGAGTGTACGTGAAGTTACGAGGCACCGCCTTATTCTGTTATCAGAATAAGTAGCTTGTACTGTCACCAGTACAAGCTTCAGGGTGCCCCGTTACATTGAGCCCTAAGGCCGAATTCTTTGCTCGTACTGTCAAATTGGACAGGGCGAAGGTGACTTGCATCTTGTCGCCCTCGATGTGATGGGCCCTGATGGCGTCGTCTAGCTCGACGAACCATCTCAAAAGGGAATCTTCATCGGTTCCCTTGTACCTTGAGATATCAATCTACAAGGTTTTGGGTCGACACATGTGCGTCGGTCCGCTCATCGAATGATGAGAGCCTTGCTGTTGTGGGAAGGCTATCTTCCATCTTCGACGGCAAGCTCCCCTTGTAGGAACTTGTTTGATAGCAGCATGTTGCTCTCTGTTTATAGACCTCCAACATGCCACCGATGGCGGGTTCGCCCATGAGCACACTCATGCGTCCGACTACCTCCCATTCTGAGTCACTTAGATGTAAGTAGCCTTCACGTGTGACGTGAAAGCTATCGTCTTCTACGTCCAACATGTTCATATTGGACGGACACTAAGTAGTCGTTGGATCGACTGCGAAGTGCTACAAGGTGTAACGGGTCACCCTTTGTTTGGGTGCCACAGAACTAACGTTTAGCTCTTGTACGTGCAGAGGATAGTTAATTTTCTTAAATAACTCGTTCAAGGGAAGGTGATAAGAGAACTGGATTCAGTATCGTTAAGCTATCAGTATAACGCAATTTTTTCGAACTACATTAATCTACATTGTCGTATGACGTCAAGCTGCGCACCACCCTTTGCGCGCGTCTAGCAGCAATTAGTGGTAATAATTGTTTATGTATAGATCAATATTAATCAATCTTCGAGCAGCACGTGAATATTATCCTAAGAGGTAATATTACTTCTATATTAGCGATCTCGGGTAATATTGACAGGGGATTGTCATGCCACGATATCCCAATTGACACCATTTGGTGCCAATATCATGTAACTGACTGCCCAGTGACACTCAGTCTGCCGATTGGGCGGCCCATTGACGTGGAGCGCGATCATCGACGTAACTACGAGGCTTGAGGAACGCCTACCCGCCGTGATATCTTCTCTACAAGCTCATCCATCCGCAACGATGGCCCACCTCTTGGTCGCTTGCGCGACCCTCAGGACTTGGATGTGCGACCGCCGCAGCGGCAACACGTGGCTCGGTGGACGACTCCATTCCGTAACATTTTCCTTCTTGGCCGCTTGCGCGACCCGTCGGTATACTGCCCTCACATCCGATACTGCGAGTGCAGCGTTCTCAAGGCAGATCCCAGATCGCTTCGGCTCCCCTATGGAGAGAATTCCCCACGAAGTGACCGCCATCGAAAGGGAGCAGACTAGCTCGAGCTAAACCGTAAAATTTTGGTAATGCGGCAGGCGCAAGGGATGCTTCAACGCTTGGTCGTGCGCCGTCATCGCATTGCTTTTCATTAGGTGATTAGAGTCGCACATGTAGAAGACGGTGCTGCTGTGCGAGAAAACAGAAAAAAGGTGGAGGAGTCCAGGCGTCTAAAGTATCGACTATCCATTCGTGCGACAATTTGCACGAGACCCAGCATTTGACACAGCGCTTGCACGATCGCAACGCTCAAGCGCTTTCTGAGATAAAGTTTCGTACCGCATGAACGTAGACACAACAAGCTTTTGTCGGGTGATCCGTGACACTACAGAAAACGAATTAATAGCCCTATTTATCTACAAATGGACAACGCAGGATACAAGAGAGGAGTGTTTGCATTTCTACAATGGGTGTATAGACCGTAGCCTATGTCCATTTTGATCTCTATTTTCTCTTTCCGTCCCCTTGTTACAAATTGGACAAATATTGATTTACATAAATTGATCATTTCTAACCAAAATTTGTTAGGACTAAAAAGATTCTACTAAGATCCGTGTCCATATTCAAAAAGGGTATATATAAAACGCAATTCCCGTTACTAGTACCAAATTAATTCAAACAAATTTTAAACTAGTACTATCCTCAATAGGGACCCTTTTCACAACGCACCTTTTTGCGATATAAGCCGATTTCATTCCGCATCCTATAAATAATTTACAAGAGATAGAGGAACAGACAGTAGATTCCACGGAATTAATGTAGACAAGACTTCTGGAATGTCCTTAGCCAGACTAGCAACACCGGTGTCGAATCTTTCGGTAGTTGGACTTGGTTCACCACGTGATATGGTAATTTGGAAGGTGTAGTGCTGGTGTCGAATATCTCAATGCACTGCCATAGTCGGATGCCCTGGGCTTTAGTATGTAGCGTTCTGCGCTCCCTTGCCGATGAAGCTTGTGATTGCCGAAGTCACTAAAAAATTTATGTTGGCCAATTTTAAGGAGTGTGAGTTTTTGCCACTCGTAAAGAACCCGATTGCGCTATAACCAAAACAGTAGTCGAGATAAAAACGGAACAGAGGATCCACCATATGCGTATTTGCTGACCAATATACTCCGCCACAGTATCACCAAATTCCTGCTGCAGCCGTTGAAATAGTATCCCGGACAGTGGCGGCGGAGTCCTTGCCATTCAGTTCCCTGTGTAACGGGGTGAATCGTTACATAACAATTTATAAGAAATTGTTAATAGAATATAACTATAAGAGTCAATTCTCAGAATATTGTCATAAGGACAAATATTCTGCAGCACTTACGAGTAGTTTCTAATTGGTTAACATAGGCCATTATATCAACCAACGAAGGCGCGCCACGACAGACACACGCAATGAGTGGTGAGCAGATAATTGATTTACACATTTGTATTTAGACATAGTTAGATGAAGATAAATAGTGATTTATTGCAGACATTAACTATTATAAATACAGTTCTACTTTTTACTTTAATTAAGTACTCGCTTCTTCTTACCGTCTTCCTCTGCACGTACGGGTGTACGTGAAGTTACGAGGCACCGCCTTATTCTGTTATCAGAATAAGTAGCTTGTACTGTAATCAGTACAAGCTTGAGGGTGCCCCGTTACACCTGGTAGCACTTCTTAGTCCGTCCAAGGACCACGTTCACATCTAACATGAATATGTTGGATGATGAAGATGACCAAAGCTTTCACGCTACGCGTGACAGCTACTCCCATTTGAGCGATGTCGAATGAGATGCGGTTGAACGGATGGGTTCAACCATGGGCATCCATGCTGTTAGCGTCATGCTAGAGGCTTTCAATAGAGATGCCCAACATGCTACTATCGCCAAGTTCATTCAAAATGAACTTGACGCTGAACGCAAGAATGTAGCCTTGCTTCACCAACAAGGTTCTCAACAATCAGAGCTGTTTAAAGAACAGGTTTCTCAACAGTTTGAACTGTTGAGACAGCAGCAGACTGCTGCTGGCGGGTCGATGCACTCGCGTCGACCCGAGACTTTAAAGATTGACATCTCCAAGTATAGGGGGGTCGAAGAAGACTCCCTCTTGAGATGGTTCGTCGAATTGGATGACGCCATAAGGGCGCGTCGCATCGACGACGGGGATATGCAAGTTGCATTTGCCCAGTCAAATCTGGCAGGACGTGCCAAGACTTGGGCACTGGGGCTCAAGTTGCACGACCCATATGCGTTTGGGTCGTTGGAAGTCTTCAAGTCGCGGCTCAGACAAACGTTTGCACCGCCTAGAGCTGAGTTCAGAGCTCGAACCGAACTCTTGAAGCTCAAACAGGGTAAGCGTGCTGTTCACGCTTACGCGCAACATATACGACATCTTACGAGCTGTATAAGTTCCAACCCGGTTGACGAACCACGTTGGTTTCGGTGTTCATGCAGGGTCTTGCGGATGGTCCCGTCAAGACTCACCTGTTTCTACTTGAACTAGATTCACTAGAACAAGCCATTTCCATTGCGGAACAGGAAGACTTCAGTCTGAGACAGGCTCGCGCCAGCTCGACATCGTATCTTCCACCGAGACGATATGACAGCGGAGGTCCAGAGCCGATGGAACTCTGTTATGTAGAGAGCGAGAAGGCTCGCTCTACAGACTACAAGAAGTTGCAGAAATGCACCAGATGTCAAAAGACAGGACACTACGCTTACGAGTGTAGTGCCCCTCGTCCAGTGTCTCGCGACACTGGGCGTAATGACCGTCCACCCATGAAAAAGGGGCAGGGACGAGGGTCCGCAGTTGGTGCAAAGACGCAACAACGGGATGGACCTTCAAACAAAAGGACGGGATCAGTAGTTGCGGAGCACCCTACTGGTCCAGCAACGTCAAGAGAATTTGTAGGCCTCTTGATGAAGGTTGCTCCCAACACACAAACGTTGTGCGTTGCTGCTCTAGGTAATGAGGTCTCACTCATTACCTTGAAACTCGAAGTGACGAATAAGTTGTCCCTTCGAGCTCTAGTCGATTGTGGGGCGTCTAACAATTTTGTGCGACGCCAATCACTAGAAGATGGTCACTTTAAATTCAGTGAATGTGACACACCTCCTACGAGGATGACGGTACGTCTTACGACAGGCGCATCCGTAACCGTCATGAAGCGTTCAGTGAAGATCCACCATACGCTAGAAGATACTCAATATGATGATGACTTTGTCGTATTGGATTTGGATGCAAATCTAATGTCATCCCTGGAGTACCGTGGCTCAGAAGGTACGAACCACGGGTTAACTGGAAACATCGAACAGTAACGATGCCTGCCGCTTGTTCATCAGATGACCATCTGATGAACGTTTTGGAGCGTCCACAAGCGTGTGGATGTGCTACGAGTGAGTGCGATGGCCTCACTTGTGGTACGGTCGTTAGTATGACTGCACCAAAATTTTATTGTAACAAACAGTTACACTTCGGAGCAAGCTTTCGGCGGCTGTGAGGAAACACAGGCTGCGCCGAAGGTCCATTACTCGAATAAGTCGAGTGGACCGGGACAAAGATGTATCCCTAGCGGGGGACATCTAGAAGAGAAACAATCGATCGCTCAGGTTAAGCGAAACGATAATCCTAGATCGACTGGAGAGTCTTTCGTAGAGGATCTCGCTGTGGTTGCGCAACCCCAGCTAGAGGAAGTTAAGGGAATAAGTCCCAAGATAAAAAAAATACGGCGGAAATAAGTTCCCCGAAACCCGTGGGAATAAGTCCCCGGGAAGCTGAAGGAATAAGTCCTTCGAGGCCTGAGGGAATAAGTCCCCAGGAAATGACAGAGACCTTGAATGTCATAGTCAATGATCGATCAAGTGTAGGCGCTTATACACTTGATCTGATTACTCCTCCGAAGTTAACTTCGGAGATCACTCAGTTGCCAACGCTCGAACATAAAAGGTTCTTGCGTGATCTGCGTAGTGGCAAAGTCAAGCAGATCTGCGTACTCGTCGCTGACGACGAGTGTGTAACCGACATAAGGTCAGCAACAGTGTTCACTGAGAACGAGAGAGTTCTCAGGAGTTCATCTATGGACGAGAGTGTCCTAGATCAAAAGACACGAATTGAGCGATATGACTCCCAATCGTGGGAATCGCTCAAGACAAATCCTCTCTATGAAGATTTGGTTGAATTCAAGGATGTATTCCCTGAAACTGTTCCGTGCGAATTACCGAAGGATAAAGGTATTCGACACGAGGTCGAGCTTAAACCAGGCTCAAAGTACTGTGTCGTGAAGCAGTGGCCACTGCCTCGTGAACAAGTGCTTGCGATCGACAAGTTGTTTGCCGATCGTTTAGCTGCGGGCCATGTGAGGGAATCAACTTCCCCACATAGCTCTCCGACCTTCTGTGTGCGAAAAGCAACAGGAGGGTGGCGGATAGTGCACGCGTTCAACAAATTGAACGCTGCAACGGCACCGGCTCAGACGCCGATACCGAGGGAGGACGTAATCATTGATGGTATGTCAAAGAGTACCATCTTTTCGTCCATGGATTTGATGGATGGCTTCTATCAAATCCTTATGCGGGAACGGGACATACCCTATACTGCAGTTAGCACGCCTAGCGGCATGCTCTGGGAATGGCTAGTAATGCCACAAGGGCTTAGTAATGCCCCTGCCACGTTCAACAGATGTGTATCACATCTGTTGAGACCAGTACGAGAATTCGCGCCGAGTTATTTCGATGACATATTCATCCATAGTCGAGCTATGGATGGAAAGTCGGACGTTGAGGTTCACAGGTACCACGTCCGACAGGTTCTTACAATCATGCGAAAGCATCAATTGTATGCAAACCTCAAGAAGTGTATATTTGCAGCAAGCGAAATACCACTTCTTGGGTGCATCGTTGGTAAGAACGGAGTACGTCCTGATCCCGAAAAGATCAAGGCGATCACCGACTGGCCTGTGCCGGTTGATGTCAAAGGTCTTCGAAAATTCCTTGGGCTAGCGGCGTATTTGCATAAGTATTCACGCAATTACGCCGAGATGACTGTACACCTCTCTCGTTTGTTGAAAAAGAACGAGAGGTGGTTATGGAATGCTGAATGTCAGCGCTCCTTTGATGGTATCAAACAGATCTTGATACAATTCCCAGTCCTAGCAATAGCCGATCAGGACAGGCCATTTCATGTGGTCTGTGATGCCAGCGATTTCGCAATCGGCTGTGCATTAATGCAGTACGATCTTGAAGGCGTTGAACGCGTCGTCAGATATCAGTCGCGTCAGCTGCAACCAGCTGAGCGGAACTATCTAGTGCATGACAAGGAACTCCTTGCCATGAAGTATGCACTCGCGAAGTTCAGAGTCTATCTATTAGGAGATAGACCCTTCATTGTTTACACAGACCATGCGTCGTTACGCACGGCAGTGAACAGCCCGCACCTTTCACAACGAATGGCGCCGTGGTTGTCATTCTTTGCAGAATACAACTTTACGGTCGAGTACAAACCAGTACGACTTAATGTCGTCGCTGATGCACTCTCACGTCGTCCCGACTTTGAAACAGTCGTGAAACCCAACAGTGAGACAGTCACTGTTGCGGTTATGACGTCCTCAGTCCCATCTACAACGTTGCATGATGATGTGAGGCGGGCATATGCCCAAGATGGTGAGATTGTGAAGTTGTTGACACATCTCTCACAGCCATCTCGAGAATCGTAGAAACGATTATCTTCTGCGCATAATAATCTGCATCAGATCGATACACTACTCGCAACGGTTTTCTGTATCATACAGCCGTTTCTGGTGACACACCACGTGTTGTCATTCCAGATGATACTGATCTGCGTTTGCGGATCATGTTCGAGTATCACGATGCTCCTATAGGAGGACATCGTGGCCGAGAGAAAACATATCTCACGGTAAGTCGAGACTTTTACTGGCCCCGCCAGTATCAGTTTGTGCGAAAGTATGTTCGCGCATGCGAAGTCTGTCAACGAGTGAAGTCAAGTCCTTCACTGAATGCACCTTTACAGCCTCTACCAGTTCCGGCAGAGTGCTAGGAATCCATCTCAATGGATTTCGTCTTCGAGTTACCCAAAGACGCACGCGGGAATACGGGTATTCTCGTATTTGTTGACAGATTCAGCAAAATGGTACACCTTGTGGCTGTACCAGAGACAATCACGGCAAGTGGCTGTGTTTGTGTCTTTACTGACACCATCTTCCGACTTCATGGGTTGCCCCGTGAACTCGTGTTAGACAGAAATCCACGATTCACTGCTGATTTCTGGCGTTCCGTGTTCAAATCACTCGGAACGCGCTTAAAGATGTCTACATCTGATCATCCAGAGTCATATGGTCAGACGGAACGTGCCAATCGTGTCCTCGAAGAGATACTTCGAGGATACGTACACTCCTTTAAGAGTTGGAGTGAGTTCCTGCCAATGGTAGAGTTTGCCATTAACAACTCGGTGCATGCGTCAACGACACATACACCGTTTTACGTGAATGGCTTACGTCATCCGCGTGTACCCACCTTACTAGAGTGTAACTATGGTTCAAGGGGGAGGGACTCGCGCGAGCAAAAACCGATTTGGTTCACGCTCATCACGCTCTGACGAAGAGGTCATGCGCTTGATGCCGATATCGACAACATCGATATCGAAGAAGATGATGTCAGTTAGAGTACGGAAGCCCTCACTGAAGAAAAGATTGATGTTGATGCAGTGCCCTCACAGCGCACTGAAGCTAACGAGGCATCAGTTCATACTGGCTCGTGAAACGGTAGTCCGTTTTGTGCAAGACTCCATCGCCGAAGCGGTGGATAAGCAAAAGCAAAACGCTGACAAGAATGGAAGGGCAAACACTCTTTTATTTAATAAAGGTGACTTAGTCCTACTGTCTACGGTTAATCTACCAAAGCATGTAGTGACTAACTTGGGTAGCAGTAAACTAATACCCAAGTACATCGGCCCATTTCGTGTATTGCACCGCCTAGGCAATGCAAGCACGATCGAGTTGCCACGTAAGATGCGAACGCATCCCACGTTTTACGTTGGTCGGCTTAAGCCGTACTATCAGTACGCTGTTTCTTCCGATGAAGAACGCCCTTGCGTTCAAGCACCTCACAGAGGGCCTTGTGCTCCCGATGGTGGCCATCGACAAGGGTCTGAAGAGCAGTTACCTCAGCCCGAGACCGATCAACAATCCCGCGAGCTACCCTTAGCTCGTCACGAAGAGATGTCAGAGCTCTCTCGTTCTCAAGCTGAGCAAAGGCAAACTCAGCTCGATGCTTCGAGGCAGCGTCCGCCAGTTGGAGACGCCTGCCCCGCTCATGTTCGAGATCGTTGCGTAATACTTGCGTTACGCGATCAAAGAAGCTCTCGGAGACACACGCTTCCCCACGGTTGTGTGGAGAGCGTCTTCCCTCCTCCTCCACCTCCATTAGAGGACTCTCGCGGTGGCCAGCGCTATCTGGTTGAGCAGCTGTTTAACCACCGCGACGTGAACGGACGTCGGACGAGTTATCTCGTCCAGTGGCGCGGCTATCCCCCGTCCTGGGATACTTGGGAGCCCCGCTCCCAACTGATGATCGACGTACTGGGTCTGGTTGAGCAGTACGACGCGGCACATCCTGTGCCGCAGAAGGACCGCCGGAGAAAGTCTTCCCGGCACGGTCGCAAAGGGATTTCAGGTTGTCAATCCCTTCGTACATCTCAGTAGAGATACGTACGCGCCACCACGGGCTATTTAGAAGGCAAGCCTCCATAGGTGCGCGCGCAGAGTTGTTCACACAACAAGGGCACGAGTCTCCCCAGGAGAGACAGGGTAACCCACTCTCCCTAGACATACGATGCAGCTTATAGCGTGCACCTGTCGGGGTTCGCTTTTCAAACTTATCACGAGCTTTGATCAGTTTGTCGTTCCAAACGTCACGACCTACATCCTCAAGGTTATGGATGTAAGCGTTCCACGCTTGAAGCAGTGAGGGACCATTACGTTTGTGATTCCCACTGTACCATCGATGTTTAAAGAAAGCATCGATGAAGAACTCATGCTCAGCGCGATAGTTTTTCGCACTGGGGTCACGGTGATGGATCCTTGACGAATCGAACAATCGTGTTCGATAACGATCACTCGTCGTCGCCGACAAGTCATCCGTGACGGATTTTGAAGGCAGACTTGTCTTCTTTTCGGGAGCGAGACGCAACACGTTGCGGTCCCGCTCTTCCTGCGACGTACCGACATAAGCACTGGTATCTCGCTACGAAGTGGTGTCACTAGGAGAACCGACACCACTGTGAGCGCCCAAGTCTTGCGATCTCGAGCGCCTTCGCTTTGGCGAGGGTTGATCTGATTCATCAAATGAACCAAAGATGCTGCGACACATAGCATCATCCATGCCACACTTGGCAGGCGGCTTGGATTCAATCGCCGTCGATACGGATCCGTCTTCAGTATCAGGAGAGTACGAGACACCGAGCTCGTACTCTGTGAAGACATGAGTGTCTTCATGACCAGCGCCTGCATCACCAAGTGACACAGGCTGGGTCGCTTCAGCAACCGATGAGACATCAGTTGCTGTGGTTTCTGCTTCGGCGTCCGCACAGAGACGTGCGGGCGCGCTCTCGGCGACCTTGCTCGCGCATCGCATGGGCTTGTTAACCATGCGATGAAATGTTGGGAAGTGGACTCGGACCAACAAGTGCAAACCCTGTCCCAAATGATTTGGGACGAGTATCCATTTACTCAGTCAGTCACTAAAGTGACTGATGGTTAAGGGGGGGTGATGTAACGGGGTGAATCGTTACATAACAATTTATAAGAAATTGTTAATAGAATATAACTATAAGAGTTATATTCTCAGAATATTGTCATAAGGACAAATATTCTGTAGCACTTACGAGTAGTTCCTAATTGGTTGCTATAGGCCATTATATCAACCAACGAAGACGCGCCACGACAGACGCACGCAATGAGTGGTGAGCAGATAATTGATTTACACATTTGTATTTAGACATAGTTAGATGAAGATAAATAGTGATTTATTGCAGACATTAACTATTATAAATACAGTTCTACTTTTTACTTTAATTAAGTACTCGCTTCTTCTTACCGTCTTTCTCTGCACGTACGAGTGTACGTGAAGTTACGAGGCACCGCCTTATTCTGTCATCAGAATAAGTAGCTTGTACTGTCACCAGTACAAGCTTCAGGGTGCCCCGTTACACCTGGTAGCACTTCGTAGTCCGTCCAAGGACCGCGTTCACATCCAACATGAATATGTTGGATGATGAAGATGACCAAAGCTTTCACGCTACGCGTGACGGCTACTCCCATTTGAGCGATGTCGAATGGGATGCGGTTGAACGAATGGGTTCGACCATGGGCATCCATGCTGTTAGCGTCATGCTAGAGGCTCTCAATAGAGATGCCCAACATGCTACTATCGCCAAGTTCATTTTGAATGAACTTGACGCTGAAAGCGAGAAAGTAGCCTTGCTTCACCAACAAGGTTCCCAACAAGCAGAGTTGTTGAGAGAACAGGGTGCTCAACAGTTTGAACTGTTGAGACAGCAGCAGGCTGCTGCTGGCGGGTCGATGCATTCGCGTCGACCCGAGACTTTGAAGATTGACATCTCCAAGTATAGGGGGGTCGAAGAAGACTCCCTCTTGAGATGGTTCGTCGAATTGGATGACGCCATAAGGGCGCGTCGCATCGACGACGGGGATATGCAAGCTGCATTTGCCCGATCAAATCTGGCAGGACGTGCCAAGACTTGGGCACTGGGGCTCAAGTTGCACGACCCATATGCGGTGGGTCGTTAGGAGTCTTCAAGTCGCGGCTCAGAAAAACGTTTGAACCGCCTAGAGCTGAGTTCAGAGCTCGAACCGAACTCTTGAAGCTCAAACAGGGTAAGCGTGCTGTTCACGCTTACGCGCAACATATACGACATCTTACGAGCTGTATAAGTTCCAACCCGGTTGACGAACCACGTTGGTTTCGGTGTTCATGCAGGGTCTTGCGGATGGTCCCGTCAAGACTCACCTGTTTCTACTTGAACTAGATTCACTAGAACAAGCCATTTCCATTGCGGAACAGGAAGACTTCAGTCTGAGACAGGCTCGCGCCAGCTCGACATCGTATCTTCCACCGAGACGATATGACAGCGGAGGTCCAGAGCCGATGGAACTCTGTTATGTAGAGAGCGAGAAGGCTCGCTCTACAGACTACAAGAAGTTGCAGAAATGCACCAGATGTCAAAAGACAGGACACTACGCTTACGAGTGTAGTGCCCCTCGTCCAGTGTCTCGCGACACTGGGCGTAATGACCGTCCACCCATGAAAAAGGGGCAGGGACGAGGGTCCGCAGTTGGTGCAAAGACGCAACAACGGGATGGACCTTCAAACAAAAGGACGGGATCAGTAGTTGCGGAGCACCCTACTGGTCCAGCAACGTCAAGAGAATTTGTAGGCCTCTTGATGAAGGTTGCTCCCAACACACAAACGTTGTGCGTTGCTGCTCTAGGTAATGAGGTCTCACTCATTACCTTGAAACTCGAAGTGACGAATAAGTTGTCCCTTCGAGCTCTAGTCGATTGTGGGGCGTCCAACAATTTTGTGCGACGCCAATCGCTAGAAGATGGTCACTTTAAGTTCAGTGAATGTGACACACCTCCTACGAGGATGACGGTACGTCTTGCGACAGGCGCATCCGTAACCGTCATGAAGCGTATAGTGAAGATCCACTATACGCTAGAAGATACCCAATATGACGATGACTTTATCGTATTGGATTTGGATGACAAATTTGATGTCATCCTTGGAATACCGTGGCTCAGAAGGTACGAACCACGGGTAAACTGGCAACATCGAACAGTAACGATGCCTGCCGCTTGTTCATCAGATAGCCATCTAATGAACGTTTTGGAGCGTCCACAAGCGTGTGGATGTACTACGAGTGAGTGCGATGGCCTCACTTGTGGTACGGTCGTTAGTACGACTGCACGAAACCTTAGTGTAACAAACGGTTACACTTCGGAGCAAAGTTCCGGCGGCTGTGAGGAAACACAGGCTGCGCCGAAGGTCCACCACTCGAATAAGTCGGGTGGACTGGGACAAAGATGTATCCCTAGCGGGGAACATCTAGAAGAGAAACAATCGATCGCTCAGGTTAAGCGAAACGATAATCCTAGATCGACTGGAGAGTCTTTCGTAGAGGATCTCGCTGTGGTTGCGCAACCCCAGCTAGAGGAAGTTAAGGGAATAAGTCCCAAGATAAAAAAAATACGGCGGAAATAAGTTCCCCGAAACCCGTGGGAATAAGTCCCCGGGAAGCTGAAGGAATAAGTCCTTCGAGGCCTGAGGGAATAAGTCCCCAGGAAATGACAGAGACCTTGAATGTCATAGTCAATGATCGATCAAGTGTAGGCGCTTATACACTTGATCTGATTACTCCTCCGAAGTTAACTTCGGAGATCACTCAGTTGCCAACGCTCGAACATAAAAGGTTCTTGCGTGATCTGCGTAGTGGCAAAGTCAAGCAGATCTGCGTACTCGTCGCTGACGACGAGTGTGTAACCGACATAAGGTCAGCAACAGTGTTCACTGAGAACGAGAGAGTTCTCAGGAGTTCATCTATGGACGAGAGTGTCCTAGATCAAAAGACACGAATTGAGCGATATGACTCCCAATCGTGGGAATCGCTCAAGACAAATCCTCTCTATGAAGATTTGGTTGAATTCAAGGATGTATTCCCTGAAACTGTTCCGTGCGAATTACCGAAGGATAAAGGTATTCGACACGAGGTCGAGCTTAAACCAGGCTCAAAGTACTGTGTCGTGAAGCAGTGGCCACTGCCTCGTGAACAAGTGCTTGCGATCGACAAGTTGTTTGCCGATCGTTTAGCTGCGGGCCATGTGAGGGAATCAACTTCCCCACATAGCTCTCCGACCTTCTGTGTGCGAAAAGCAACAGGAGGGTGGCGGATAGTGCACGCGTTCAACAAATTGAACGCTGCAACGGCACCGGCTCAGACGCCGATACCGAGGGAGGACGTAATCATTGATGGTATGTCAAAGAGTACCATCTTTTCGTCCATGGATTTGATGGATGGCTTCTATCAAATCCTTATGCGGGAACGGGACATACCCTATACTGCAGTTAGCACGCCTAGCGGCATGCTCTGGGAATGGCTAGTAATGCCACAAGGGCTTAGTAATGCCCCTGCCACGTTCAACAGATGTGTATCACATCTGTTGAGACCAGTACGAGAATTCGCGCCGAGTTATTTCGATGACATATTCATCCATAGTCGAGCTATGGATGGAAAGTCGGACGTTGAGGTTCACAGGTACCACGTCCGACAGGTTCTTACAATCATGCGAAAGCATCAATTGTATGCAAACCTCAAGAAGTGTATATTTGCAGCAAGCGAAATACCACTTCTTGGGTGCATCGTTGGTAGGAACGGTGTACGTCCTGATCCCGAAAAGATCAAGGCGATCACCGACTGGCCTGTGCCGGTTGATGTCAAAGGTCTTCGAAAATTCCTTGGGCTAGCGGCGTATTTGCATAAGTATTCACGCAATTACGCCGAGATGACTGTACACCTCTCTCGTTTGTTGAAAAAGAACGAGAGGTGGTTATGGAATGCTGAATGTCAGCGCTCCTTTGATGGTATCAAACAGATCTTGATACAATTCCCAGTCCTAGCAATAGCCGATCAGGACAGGCCATTTCATGTGGTCTGTGATGCCAGCGATTTCGCAATCGGCTGTGCATTAATGCAGTACGATCTTGAAGGCGTTGAACGCGTCGTCAGATATCAGTCGCGTCAGCTGCAACCAGCTGAGCGGAACTATCTAGTGCATGACAAGGAACTCCTTGCCATGAAGTATGCACTCGCGAAGTTCAGAGTCTATCTATTAGGAGATAGACCCTTCATTGTTTACACAGACCATGCGTCGTTACGCACGGCAGTGAACAGCCCGCACCTTTCACAACGAATGGCGCCGTGGTTGTCATTCTTTGCAGAATACAACTTTACGGTCGAGTACAAACCAGTACGACTTAATGTCGTCGCTGATGCACTCTCACGTCGTCCCGACTTTGAAACAGTCGTGAAACCCAACAGTGAGACAGTCACTGTTGCGGTTATGACGTCCTCAGTCCCATCTACAACGTTGCATGATGATGTGAGGCGGGCATATGCCCAAGATGGTGAGATTGTGAAGTTGTTGACACATCTCTCACAGCCATCTCGAGAATCGTAGAAACGATTATCTTCTGCGCATAATAATCTGCATCAGATCGATACACTACTCGCAACGGTTTTCTGTACTATACAGCCGTTTCTGGTGACACACCACGTGTTGTCATTCCAGATGATACTGATCTGCGTTTGCGGATCATGTTCGAGTATCACGATGCTCCTATAGGAGGACATCGTGGCCGAGAGAAAACATATCTCACGGTAAGTCGAGACTTTTACTGGCCCCGCCAGTATCAGTTTGTGCGAAAGTATGTTCGCGCATGCGAAGTCTGTCAACGAGTGAAGTCAAGTCCTTCACTGAATGCACCTTTACAGCCTCTACCAGTTCCGGCAGAGTGCTAGGAATCCATCTCAATGGATTTCGTCTTCGAGTTACCCAAAGACGCACGCGGGAATACGGGTATTCTCGTATTTGTTGACAGATTCAGCAAAATGGTACACCTTGTGGCTGTACCAGAGACAATCACGGCAAGTGGCTGTGTTTGTGTCTTTACTGACACCATCTTCCGACTTCATGGGTTGCCCCGTGAACTCGTGTTAGACAGAAATCCACGATTCACTGCTGATTTCTGGCGTTCCGTGTTCAAATCACTCGGAACGCGCTTAAAGATGTCTACATCTGATCATCCAGAGTCATATGGTCAGACGGAACGTGCCAATCGTGTCCTCGAAGAGATACTTCGAGGATACGTACACTCCTTTAAGAGTTGGAGTGAGTTCCTGCCAATGGTAGAGTTTGCCATTAACAACTCGGTGCATGCGTCAACGACACATACACCGTTTTACGTGAATGGCTTACGTCATCCGCGTGTACCCACCTTACTAGAGTGTAACTATGGTTCAAGGGGGAGGGACTCGCGCGAGCAAAAACCGATTTGGTTCACGCTCATCACGCTCTGACGAAGAGGTCATGCGCTTGATGCCGATATCGACAACATCGATATCGAAGAAGATGATGTCAGTTAGAGTACGGAAGCCCTCACTGAAGAAAAGATTGATGTTGATGCAGTGCCCTCACAGCGCACTGAAGCTAACGAGGCATCAGTTCATACTGGCTCGTGAAACGGTAGTCCGTTTTGTGCAAGACTCCATCGCCGAAGCGGTGGATAAGCAAAAGCAAAACGCTGACAAGAATGGAAGGGCAAACACTCTTTTATTTAATAAAGGTGACTTAGTCCTACTGTCTACGGTTAATCTACCAAAGCATGTAGTGACTAACTTGGGTAGCAGTAAACTAATACCCAAGTACATCGGCCCATTTCGTGTATTGCACCGCCTAGGCAATGCAAGCACGATCGAGTTGCCACGTAAGATGCGAACGCATCCCACGTTTTACGTTGGTCGGCTTAAGCCGTACTATCAGTACGCTGTTTCTTCCGATGAAGAACGCCCTTGCGTTCAAGCACCTCACAGAGGGCCTTGTGCTCCCGATGGTGGCCATCGACAAGGGTCTGAAGAGCAGTTACCTCAGCCCGAGACCGATCAACAATCCCGCGAGCTACCCTTAGCTCGTCACGAAGAGATGTCAGAGCTCTCTCGTTCTCAAGCTGAGCAAAGGCAAACTCAGCTCGATGCTTCGAGGCAGCGTCCGCCAGTTGGAGACGCCTGCCCCGCTCATGTTCGAGATCGTTGCGTAATACTTGCGTTACGCGATCAAAGAAGCTCTCGGAGACACACGCTTCCCCACGGTTGTGTGGAGAGCGTCTTCCCTCCTCCTCCACCTCCATTAGAGGACTCTCGCGGTGGCCAGCGCTATCTGGTTGAGCAGCTGTTTAACCACCGCGACGTGAACGGACGTCGGACGAGTTATCTCGTCCAGTGGCGCGGCTATCCCCCGTCCTGGGATACTTGGGAGCCCCGCTCCCAACTGATGATCGACGTACTGGGTCTGGTTGAGCAGTACGACGCGGCACATCCTGTGCCGCAGAAGGACCGCCGGAGAAAGTCTTCCCGGCACGGTCGCAAAGGGATTTCAGGTTGTCAATCCCTTCGTACATCTCAGTAGAGATACGTACGCGCCACCACGGGCTATTTAGAAGGCAAGCCTCCATAGGTGCGCGCGCAGAGTTGTTCACACAACAAGGGCACGAGTCTCCCCAGGAGAGACAGGGTAACCCACTCTCCCTAGACATACGATGCAGCTTATAGCGTGCACCTGTCGGGGTTCGCTTTTCAAACTTATCACGAGCTTTGATCAGTTTGTCGTTCCAAACGTCACGACCTACATCCTCAAGGTTATGGATGTAAGCGTTCCACGCTTGAAGCAGTGAGGGACCATTACGTTTGTGATTCCCACTGTACCATCGATGTTTAAAGAAAGCATCGATGAAGAACTCATGCTCAGCGCGATAGTTTTTCGCACTGGGGTCACGGTGATGGATCCTTGACGAATCGAACAATCGTGTTCGATAACGATCACTCGTCGTCGCCGACAAGTGATCCGTGACGGATTTTGAAGGCAGACTTGTCTTCTTTTCGGGAGCGAGACGCAACACGTTGCGGTCCCGCTCTTCCTGCGACGTACCGACATAAGCACTGGTATCTCGCTACGAAGTGGTGTCACTAGGAGAACCGACACCACTGTGAGCGCCCAAGTCTTGCGATCTCGAGCGCCTTCGCTTTGGCGAGGGTTGATCTGATTCATCAAATGAACCAAAGATGCTGCGACACATAGCATCATCCATGCCACACTTGGCAGGCGGCTTGGATTCGATCGCCGTCGGTACGGATCTGTCTTCCGTATCAGGAGAGTATGAGACACCGAGCTCATACTCTGTGAAGACATGAGTGTCTTCATGACGAGCGCCTGCATCACCAGGTGAAACAGGCTGAGTCCCTTCAGCAACCGATGAGACATCAGTTGCTGTGGTTTCTGCTACGGCGTCTGCACAGAGACGTGCGGACGCGCTCTCGGCGGCCTTGCTCGCGCATCGCATGGACTTGTGAACCATGCGATGAAATTGATGGACTGTGGACTCGGACCAACAAGTGCAAACCCCGTCCCAAATGATTTGGGACGAGTATCCATTCAGTCAATCAGTCACTTAAGTGACTGATGGTTAAGGCGGGGGTGATGTAACGGGGTGAATCGTTACATAACAATTTATAAGAAATTGTTAATAGAATACAACTATAAGAATTATATTCTCAGAATATTGTCATAAGGACAAATATTCTGCAGCACTTACGAGTAGTTTCTAATTGGTTAACATAGGCCATTATATCAACCAACGAAGGCGCGCCACGACAGACACACGCAATGAGTGGTGAGCAGATGGTTGACATACACATTTGTATTCAGACATAGTTAGATGAGGATAAATAGTGATTTATTAACATGCATTAACTATGAAAAATACAGTTCTACGTCTTACTTTAACCAAGTACTCGCTTCTTCTTACCGTCTTCCTCTGCACGTACGAGTGTACGTGAAGTTACGAGGCACCGCCTTATTCTGTGTCATCAGAATAAGTAGCTTGTACTGGTAACAGTACAAGCTTGAGGGTGCCCCGTTACACCCTGCATACTGGACCACGTCATCCAGCCGCTCGTCGGACTTACACCACGAGTTCAGGATCACCTACCCGCATCCGTGGGCACCCGAAATGTCCAAAATGTGCCTTATTGTCTCCTTTTGACCGCCACAGACCGACAGCCTCCTGCAACTGTGGTCAAGTTCTCTGCCTAGAAAGAACTAATTGATCTTTTGAAGTATGAAAAGATGTTAAAATTACACTTTATAATCCGTGATTGCATTTAATAACCCCAAAGCTGCTTCGGGGTATGATGAAGAGCTGAAAAAGGCCGGTCTTTACGATTCGTAACTTTACAAGAAGATCTTTTATAGCCGTGCCAAGCCCCATCTCAGCCTTGCAATCTGGCTGGCGTTTGATGTACCTCTATATGTGCCGATTCGCTACGTTCGGTGGGGAATCCCACGGTAAGCTGGGGATAGATAGACGTGTCTCAATGACAAGATAAAGTGTTTGAAGCAAGCTCCTGATGACAACTACATCGGGCCCATACTCCGGATGTATTAGATGTGAGTCATTGACTATCCAATTATCCCGTTGGCATCCTGCTTTACCACGATTTCCTGTTACTAAATGTCCGGCGCTGTACCTGCTATCCCTCGAACAGCTTCAGGCTCTACCAGCACCCACTTGTAAGATAGCCGGGGTGAGGGTAGGGTGGTGTAGTAAAGCCATAGTGGGTGAACGTCAAATGTACGTCCCATAGCCAGAGGCGGACATCTTAAAAGAATTGCAAAAGCCCAGATCCCGAGTTTGCGGTCCATGTGGTGCTTGTCCGCTCCCTCAGCCAACGGGACGTGTCAAACGTATGTCGTCGAACCGATTCGCTCAATCGCAATTTTTTTTAGGGAGATCAGCCTGATTCGGTCGTATTTCTTGCTCATCAACCGGTGTCGTGTGCTATCGCTTAGCCATGAATTGTCTGCCCACATATTCGTTGGCCGATTCCGTCTGGACACGGACTTTATATCCCAGGTAACTGCCGGAAGCGGATCCGCTAACCAAATTGTTAGTCGGTTTACGTTCCGCCAGCACGTGTTCTGCATCAGCCGTTTTATCTGTCGACTATGCCGATCCTGTATGGTCTCATGCGCCTTTTCCGATGGCCGACGCCGAAAACAAATATTGGCCCGCAACGATGCACCACGTATCTTGCTTTGTTTACTGTGGATATGAAGAGGACATAGTGGTTACGACAGAGGCGTCGTCCCGAGCCTCCCGAGACGTCCAAAATTTCCATGCCGCGACGTTTCTTCCGCACCTCTATTTAACCCAAAGAAGAGAGTGTTTTATCCGTTGCGATTTACCAGCCACTGCTATCGAGACCAAGCCGACCCTTCCAGACGCTCGCGGCTTGTACATAATGCCCGGGATAATTTTACGACGACTGCGCTCCGTTGAGTTCGCATGTTTTTCCAAGAAATTTTTATGGAGAATTTGGAGCACCTTTTTCATTAATTTGTGCATATCAATGTCCGCTTCCGTGGAGATTATCCCTAGCAGCATTATGACTTTGATTATGAGCACCTTTAGAAATGCAATAGTCGCCCCCGAGTAGCCGTCGCGAGTTGAAGTTGCACGTTCCGAATCCATCATCCCATTTCGCGTCTACGAGTGCTCTATACCCACTTAATGACCGAGGTAGCGTACTGTGTTGCCATGAGGCAACACAGGTATTCCCTCATTTTCAGGCAAAGCCACTTTTTTAGCAAATTAGATGATGTGACTTTTGTTGTCTGCACAGTGAGCTATGATACCCACTAGAAAGCTGCGACGATGTCGAGGACGCTTTGGAGACTAATCGCCTTTTACAGATACACAATGGAGTTATTGATAAATGCGGAAAGGTGTGGCGCTCACCGTGTGACCCGGGAACCTCAATCCCCTAGGGCTCGCGATCCTGTGTGATCGCTAACGACTGGACTTCCGCTGCCAGGATGAACAGTGATGATGCCAAAGGGCATCCCTGCTGAATCTTTGAAGTAATTTTCAACGTTTGAAAAAAGGGGGCCATTGACCAAAGTTTCAGCGCTGGTAGACTTGTGCAATTTATGCATTGTGTGAATGAAAGGACTTTCAAATACATACTCTTTCAAGACTTAAAGGTTAAATTCCGTGTCACCATGTCGTATGCCTTTGGAAAACCCAGCAACGAAATTTCTCGACTCCGTGTTGCTTCCAAGTAAATTATGGCTCGAGCTGTAGCAACTGCCGCGAGTGTATTCATGAGTGATTTCACCATCTGTTGTCCCTGCACAAACCCCTGCTGGTTGCCCTCAATTGCCTCAGGAAAAAATATTATGTAATTGTGTTGCCATAATTTTGGTAAATACTTTGTGCCCTGTTTTCAAAAGCGATATCGGCCGGCAATCCATAGCATCTACCGAGTCCCAATTTTCTGTGAATTGGAATAATGAGGACTTTTAGAAACGAACATGGCAGATCCTTCTCATACATTAATTCGTTCCCGAAAATTATCATCGCCGGCGCCAATATCGCATGAGTGTCTTTAATAAAGCCATTATTAGCCCCATCAGGCCCTGCCGCATTGTGCTGATTAAGTCCTGCTTTTGCTGTGACCACTTTGTCAATGCTTTCGGGCTGAAGCAAGGAAGCATTGTCGATCGAAGTCATTTTGCGAGCCTCCGGAATCGTTTTGAATTTATCGAACGCCTGACGCATGCGCCATTGTGTGTTTCGACTCTGGCCCAAAAACTGCTGCCACTCTGTTGCAAACTTATCAGCGAAAAGGCCGCTTGTTGGAGTTAGTGAAGGTTGGTAAATTTTGGCCCCGCTCCCTACTAAGAACACGCTTAAAAGTCCAGTGTAGTAGATCCTTCGTACGCTCAAGTCGGCGTCCCTCCTGAATTATACACTCCTCGAGAATCTTTATTCAATGTGCGTGTATGAGATACCGTCGACTTGTGAGATCTGCTCAGATTGCCGCTGAACCTTTTCCACATACCGTTTGCTGTTTTATTTTAAACTCTTGCGTACAGTTTTATTTGCCGCAATACTTTGGAGAACCTGGTCATCTCATGTACGCGTATGTGGGTCTCTCCCCACATTTCGATCTATCAGCTCTGACAGAAGTGCCTGTTTATACCAAGCTGGGTTCTGGGAGGGAATAGGGTACTGCACTGGATGTACCATTCAACTTTCGGGTTCATTCGAAGCACCTTTCCTAGAACAAGATACACCCGTTGATGGTCGGACTCGACGTCCGGCTCGGTCATCTCCATCCATCGCGCCGTAGACGCCTGCCCAAGCAAAATATAGGACCGATCCATTCTGCAAGCCGTCGGTTTGGTCCTGCATATAAATAATTTACGTCGGTTCTTGTGGATCGTCGTCATCCATCGAGGCCGACAATATACTGGCTTCTTCAAGCCCCATCGATGTTAGCAAGTAGCCTAATTGAGCCTATCTGGACGTTTAGTACGCTGGCCACCCAATTAGTTAAG